GATGGTGCATATAAAAAATGTTAAAATGCATTTATTTTTTAATCTATTTTTTGTGCAGTTGTAGGCATAGTTTAGTGGTAAATCTATATAAGATTATATATTGGAGGTGCATACTTCAAATCACTCACTCTCCCAAGTTCAAAAAGAAAAATTAAATCCATAAATATATATTGATAAAGAGGATTAATTTATTTAAATGTAACTTAGATTGTATTTAACGTAGATTGGCAGTTATATTTTATTTAACGTTTGAATTATTTTAAATATTAGTTATTAGGAGATAGTCTTCAGTTTAAATTAGACATTAGATAAGTATTAGATTCGAATTCAAACTCCTTATGCAACTCTATATATTTTGCATTCTCAACCATGGAAAACTTATACTATGGCCCTTCAAAATCTATATATATGTACATATATGGGTGTAGTTTTAATGGTTACTCTAGTACTTACCCATCAATAGGTATCATTATTGTAATAGTTTTAACCGTAATATATTAATCCGAAAGTTATAATAAATTAGATAGTTGACAAAAAAAATTTATGACAATTAATAAAACTATATTCTTATCACGCCACATCATCGGATTTCTATTTTTTATTTCGCCTTTATTGGAATTTGATATTTTTATACACGCCCCCACTAATTTTTATATTTTTTATTTTATTCCTAAATGTTTTTATAACAATTTTACTCATGAGCTATTGTAATGTCTTTTATGATATCTTATTTTTAGACTATCATATTTGTATAATTATAGTGTAAATTTTTGTTAAATTCTTACCTTTCTTAGGTCTGAGCTTCATTTTGACTATGACAAAGATCTATGCATTTTAAATGTTTTGCAATTTTTTCCTAATTCTTTTTTCATCAAGGATGAATGGATCTGTTTTGTGATTAAATTACAGTCGATCGATGAAATACGAGAATGGAACAGAATTTTAAAATATGAAGCTATAAATGTGATACAATCTAAAAATATAAGGCATGAATTTTTTTTACATCCTCAAAATGCAATGTATTAAAATAAAAAAAAATTACGATAGATTATTAATAGTACCAAATTAAAAATGTTAGATCCAATCAAAATTACAACAAAATTAAGAAAAAAAAGTTTGCAAAATAAACAACTTTACATATATAAAAAAAATCTAACGGTTCAAGACAAAGCTCTGTGTTAGGATATTTTTTCATTTCGTAAAATTCTCCATATGTATCTAATATTTCTTGAATCATCAACTACAAAATTGAAAATAATTAAGTACTTACGTGTAGACATAGTATTTACATGGTATAAGAATGAAACTAATTTAGTATTTACTTATAAATAAAAAATATTTACTAGAAACAAGATTGACAATAATTAAATATTTACGTATAAATATAGTATTTACATGTTTCTAGCCTCATTTCAGAACTTGCATCCGCAGCAGCTGCAGCAGGAAAAAAAGTTAGAATTTGAAGAAGAATTGGAGGGGGCGGAAAAAAAAATGTTCCATCCAGAGTTATCTCATGTCATGTGTTAGGCAACATCATGCATGTTCCTTTAGTATGTATTTTTTTATATTATTCTTATGTTTTCTATATAAGAATGTATTATATTATATCTTGCTTTGGATTATTTATTTTACCTTCACTGTTGAATTATTTGCTTTCAGTTCAAATGGATGAATGGTTGGTTCTATTCTCTCTCTGAGAAGGATACTGCAGAAGGAAAACCCGATCCATGCCCTCTGCGTTCAGCGTGTGGCTTAAAGAATTGAAAAAGAATACCAAGAAAAAAATAATGAGAAGAAATAAAAGAAGAGAAAAGAGAGAACAAAAAAGAAAAAGAAAATTGCTTTGGACCACAAAAAATTGTCAAATTTTTCCCAACACACACAGCTGTAATTTTCCTATTAAATTATTCCTGATGTCAATTGCACCTTCTCTTTAATAAGAAAGTCTTGTCAAAATATTATCACTCATTCAAAACAAAGAATACCAAGGGAACATTATTAATCTACTGTTTTTTTTTTAAGGAAAAAACAATTAATCTACTTCTAAGTAGGGCTATGTAAAGACAAACGAATTTAGAAGGGGAAATTTGTATAATAATAATTCCTTTTTTTTTTTTTAAAGGAACAATGGTATAACTATGTAACAACTAAAACCAAACATACCACTCATTATAAGGCTAACTAATATTTATGCCATGGAAGTGGCATAATGAAAATATGTCATCTATTAAATCAGTAAAAGAAATAATTTTAAATGGCATAAACTTATATAATTTAGAATGTTACATATGTTATGATTAGATAAAAAATTTACAAACTATGTACTTTTCTCATATTTTAGTTACTTTATGAGATGATATATTATTACGTGAAACATGTACCTAGGCAAGAAAAACAACATCCATCTAATAAATGCCCGAATGTCATCGCATATAAGAATCTCTATAAATATCGACATATATACATCGCTCAAAATAATACCAAAGAAAACCAACAACAACATGGAGAAAGTAGGAAGCTCTGGGCATGATCTTCAAGTCGGTGCCACTGAGCTACTTAAAGCTCAAGCCCACATTTGGAACCAAATCTTCAACTTCATCAACTCCATGTCCCTCAAATGTGCCATTCAATTAGGTATACCGGATGCCATCCATAGTCATGGCAAACCCATGACGCTTTCCCAACTTATATCCGCCTTGCCAATCCACCAAAACAAAAAGCTTGATTCTCATTTGATCTACCGCCTCATGCGCATCTTGGTCAACTCCAGCTTCTTTTCTCTTCAAGAAGTCGTCGGGGAAACTGACCAATTGGAAGATGGTTACGTCCTCACAAATTCTTCCAAATTGCTTGTTAGGGACAATCCCTTCAGTCTCACACCCATCTTGCTTACCGTGCTTGACCCTATTATGACTAAGCCTTGGCATTCTATTAGCACTTGGCTCCAAAGTGATGACCCTACTCCATTTGCCACAACAAATGGGATGGGATTTTGGGACTATACTGTGCGTGATCCTAGGTACGGAAATTTGTTCAATGAGGCGATGGCTAGTGATGCGCGATTGGTCGTGAGTGTGCTGTTCGATAAGTGCATATCGGTGTTTGAGGGATTGGAATCCTTGGTTGATCTTGCAGGAGGCACTGGGACGGTGGGCAAGGCCATTGCGGATGCATTTCCGCACATAGAGTGCACTGTCTTTGATCTACCTCACGTTATTGCTCATTTGCAGGGATGTAAGAACTTGAAATTTGTTGGTGGGGACATGTTTCATGATGAAGTTCCTCCAGCAGATGCAATTTTCATGAAGGTAACAAATATATATGTATATACATATATATCCATTCATCAAATTTTAACAAGATCTCTGTGAATATGTTTGGAAGATGCTCCAAAAACACCACAGGTCAAGTTCAGTACCATAACTAATATATAAAGCTAGGTTCCAATATTTGTGAACTCTTGTGTTGTGGGACACTCTCTCTAACGGTGTGAGACTCTTTCTCTTCCTAAAACTATACAACAAGAAGTTAAGCCTAGCTTATAGTGCTGGCCTGCGCGCGCACATATATATATATATATATATATATATATAATTCTATGAAAGCCTTTATTATTCTATATTACATGTATAATAGATACTCATGTGTTTGTGTGTTTATTTACACTAGGGGTGTAAATCGGCCGGATAGGGTAGGATTGAGCCGAAAAATTGAGCCTACCCGACTAGTGGGGTTGAGAAAATTTTGGGCCGCGACACTCTCTTAAGTCTACAAACCCGCAACCTTTCGGGTGACCTCGGGTAGGGTCGGGTTACTCGGGTTGGTAAAAACCAATTTTAATCTATGACTTCATCAATTTTAATCTAAGAGCCTCTTATATGCAAATAAATGATAAAATACTATTGTAGTAAATGAGCAATAAATGATATATGCAAATACTATTGTAGTAAATAATTACGCAATAAAATTGCGGCATAATAAATATAAAGACTAATAACTCATATCACAATATGCATAAAGTAAGAGTGATCTCAAGGACCACATGATCACTTTTTAGTTAATTAATCTTGTGTTTGTTACAGAAGAAATCATTATCAAACAGAACATGTCTTTCCTTCAATAGGGGGTCTAAATGCAAGGTGAACAATTAAAACACTCACTTTGAAATCAAACACTTCTAATATAAATAAAAAATGTCCTAATTCAACAACTATGGTATACAAGCATTTTTTACACAAACCGTGAATCTAAAACATAAATAAGTTAACAGTTTAAAAGCATAAAGTCCATAAACTTATGAAAGTAAGAATTTGAAGTGTTGGACATTGTTTTACCTACTTTGAACATGTTCGGCCGGGTAGGGTTACCTCGGGTTCATGTAACCCCACCCCGCGCCCCTACCTGCGCAGTGCGGGTTAGGTATAATTAAAACTGAAAATTAAATAAAAAATTAGAAATCCGTGATTTTCGGGTAGGGTCAGCTCGGTTCGGTCGGGTTCGTCGGGTTCGGGGTGATTTCTTACAGCCCTAATTTACACCCACAAATAGTTTGAAAGCATGTTGGTCAATTCATGATCAAATATTGATGATTTTGTGTTTTAAAAGAGCAGTGGATATTGCATGACAAGAGTGATAACTTCGTATTAGTGTATGATGTTCAGCATTTCTGGTGCCTCTTAATATTATCGATCAATTTGCGTTTTTTCCAAAAGCATTAATTTTTTCATATCCTAAAACTATCTAACAACAAATTAAGCCTAGGCTAGCTAGGGCGGCAACTAAATTTGTTGATTTTTCATATTATATATGAGTCCTATATATAAATATAATTCTACGATTGCCTTTTCTACTGCATATATATAATAGATACTCATATGTTTGTGTGTTTAATCAATTCATGATCAAATATATTGATGCCTGACTGGAGTGACGAAGATTGTGTGAAGTTACTTGAGGGATGCAAAAAGGCAATTACATGCAAAGGCAACTTCAAGAAAAGGAATAAGGTGATTATAGTAGACATGATCGTTATGGAGAACCAAAAGAGTAAGGATATTATTGATCATGTTCATGATGATCGGTCGTACGAAACCCTACTCTTCTTTGATATGATTGAGATGATATTTCTCCCTGGCACCCGAGATAGGACAGAGAAAGAGTGGGCTAAGCTCTTTTCTAATGCAGGTTTTACTACTTACAAGATAACTCCCCTTTCGGGTGTTAGATCTCTCATTGAAGTTTTTCCATAATAATGATAGTAATAACAAAAATTGTTTGGAGCACCCCGCACCAGTGGTGTCGAGTAACCCAACAAATTATAGTAAGTGGGGTCGTATAAATATGTCTTGTGTTATAATAAGATCCATCTTTATAATTAGTATGTGGTGTTTCAGAATCACTAATGTTTGATGTTCAATAATATAAACTTTTTATTATTTGTAATGTATTTTCTATTTAATATAAAGTGATGAGCAACTAGCTAGAGCTAGCTTGGATTTGGCTCTGATAAACGTGCTTGGCTTGTCCTATGGTGGCCGAAGAAGCTTGTCAAATTGTGGACGCTAGCTACTTTGCAATATACGTATTCGATATGTATAAAACGTTTGTATTGTTGTATGATTATGTCAAGTTACATGTACGATAAATCTATTAAGCTAGATGTTTGATAAATAGAAGGTATGTTACATGTTATAAACTTGATAGAGCAAAATAAAGCAATGTTATTGTATACAATATTTTTTGTTGTTAATTTCTTGTTTTCTTGTTTCAAGGCCGTATTTTGATACCTTTTACCTCCCTAATATTAAGGATATAAAAATCTTTTATGATCGAAAGCAAATGAGAAGTAAAAGTGAAATTGAAAATCCAAAATTTCAGTATAAGAGGTTTATATCACTTTTTCTCTTGTTTATCCATAACTAAAGAAGTTCAGTTCTATGCAGATAATTAGATATTAACTGGCCACCTAACAAAAGAGATAGGAAATATTATAATCAAATTTAAAATAATTATTTAGATATTAACTTAATAATTATATCTATAATTATTTTATAGATATTAACTTTGTAATATAAACATGAATACTATTATAATAATCACTACATAAGTTGCTGAGATATTTTTAGTAAGGTTTTTTTATAATACTCACTATATAGTCTAATCTTAATAATTAACAACTAAAGATAGTTATTTGGGCAGTGCCCACCTTCTTTTTGCAATAGTTTGGGACATTAATTTTGTAAAATTAAGGGAAAACTTCTCATAAATATGTTTTAAAAATAATATTTTATTCTTAAAAGTTATAGTTCGATGCAATATAATTTGATTTTCTTTGAAAAAACCTCTTCCACAAACTACTTGATCAAAATTGCAGCGTGTGATATACATTTTATTAAGGAATACGACAAATAGGTGTTAGTTATAATAAAGTTTTTCATATTCCAATGGCGGAACAATTATGAAGCAATATATGATGTCCTTCTTACCAAAAAAGAAAAAAGAAAGAAAGAAAGAAAGACAGTGTAATATGAGAAGTGGGAAATATATAGGCCTCGTTCATTTTACCGATTTGAGTTTTCAGTTCTAGATTTTTATAATTAAAAGCTCTCGAAAAAATATCATATCTTAACTTTTTCTGTCACAATTAAAAGCACTCAGAAAATATCACATTTCAGCTTGAATTGAAAACTCGAATCTGTAAAGAGATCGAGGCCATAATATACTAACCATATGTCGTAGTACCATTGGTTCACAATTCTAATTTGATTATTCAACAATTTATATGTGTAATCACAATTATCTGGTAGAGTAGAAAATAATGTATACTGTCTCCGGTAGACCGTTCTATAGATAAAATTAATTTTTTAACCGTTAGATCTGGTTAAAAGTAAATGAGATTGAAAAAAAGGATTATTTACAAAAATAACACCTATCACAACAATTATCTTATGACTAGCACCACTTTTTCATATTTTTATTTTTAGCACTGTCACATCAACAATTGAGGGACCCACTTTTTCTCACGCATATATTTCATAAGTTTGCCGCAAAAAGCTTTTCACAGTGTCATAATTATATTCACAACTCTATACTTTCTCATATATACTATTTCATATGAGTATTCGTTTTTATCCTACAAACTTTATATATTCAAAATATTTGGACTAGTAGTCCATATTAATACTTCATTTTTATGAGTAACTCTTGCTTGGATTTGCGTCTTTTACTTATTGGCCAATTTTATCGATGTCAAGTTTTTTTTTTGACGAATTTCGTATTTCTTTCAAGATCCTTATTTTCTTTTTTTTTTTTTTTTTAAAAATCAGCGTCTGTAATTGGCGATAACAAATTTTATTGCAATTTAATTTTGCTCGTATATTGACATAACTCTTTGAGATCCATCTATTATTTTCAATATTTCTAAAATATCAAGTATACTCATTGATCTGCTTAAGGAGCCCATAACTTCAATGATATTTACAATTTACTTAAAAAGTTTGATATCCAATAGAAGTGTCAAATTTTCATGTCAATAACCTTTCACAAGCATATCATCTTTAGAAATATGATGTCTTTACTAGTTTATTTCTCTTCCAATATGGTATTTTATACCAAATAAGTCTTCAACACTTCATGTGTATCTTAGACTAATAATCTAATCGATTGTAATTTAGAGACTTCAATCTAATTTAAGACATCAGCAGTTGGAGAAGTGGTTTAGTCACTTTCTTTGTCATATACACAATTCTATAATACATTGCAATGCTTAATTATTCAATTCATGCAAGGATCAATAATATCTTCCCTCCCCTGATGGCGGGAGGATTTATTTTCTTCAAGCCATATTACCTGTAGGAATTTTCAAAATGATCAGCTTTCCAAATCATACTCATTATACCCGTTAGTGTAGCAAACTTCCATTTCGTTGCATACTGATAATATAATTGTCTTACTACAATTTGAGAGCGAAAGTGTAAATATTTTCTACTACATCATTTTCTCATAAGGCTGAATATAATCAACAATATTTACCTTTGTGCATATCTCTTCTTACATAAAATTAAAATAATATAGAGGTATTTCCCATTTATCTCTACTGTTGGTTATTTTTTCATCCTTAGGATGATAATAACATGGGAATTTTCATCATCAAATAAGTAATTTATCTTCTCAAATAAATTATAAAAAACCCCAAATATCATAACTAATTGATCATCAATGCATTAAGTTATATAATTTCGTTGTTCTCTTTTTTTCCCTTTATTTTGTATTGACCAAGTCAAATTGTATCTCTTGGGCATATTGAATATATGAATGCGATATTTTCACACATCAAATAATTTTAACTCACAAGCCTTTTCAATTTCTTTGTCACGTTTTCTCGCTTTTAGTGATGACGTGTGTAAGCTTTTAAAATAGGTGGATACTAATTAACATAACAACTCTACCATGTCAAAGATATTTTTAGGAAAAAAATAACCTTGAGTAAAATAAAGAGGAGACAACATATAATTATACTCTTTCTTTCCATCTTTCTCGACTTAGGCCTTGTAAATATCACATGACTATTTTGGACATACCACATGTATGTTACCAAAGGTCTATATAACCTTTTCATATGCCATATAATAAAATTTCAGGGAATTAAATGATAATCATAAGTTTCTCCATTTGTTGAGGCTTGATTCTACTAATTAAAGCCTTTCTACGTCACATGATAGAAGTGACAAATATTGAATTTTCATGGAAATAGTCTAATATTGCAAACTTTTCAATTTCCTCATATTTTGAGAATTCACATGAGTTTGCAAAGCATTGCAATTTCTCTTATACTTCCACACTTCCAGTGGTACTTTGTGGCTTTCTTTCATAATGGGGATATTGAGAAATTATGAAAGCCCCATTAACCATCAAATATTCAATATTCTCGGGGAATATGCAAAAATCTTTTTATAGACAAAATTGATGGATTTTTTTTTATTTTTTGACATTCCATGGTTGCTATCAAAAATATTATGGTCATTATTATCTTCATAATTTTTTCACCTTGCTCATAATTATAATATAAGAAACATTCATTTTATAGAATGTGCAAAGCCAAATTGCATTAAGCAAAAATGTTGGTTCATTGATTTTTGGCTCAAAAATATATGCCAAAATGATACATCCATGCCAATATAATTTAAATTTCGCCAAACCTATATTGATAAATGATGCAATATTCAGTTCTAAGAATATGAAAAATTAATTAGCTAGACAAAACCAAATTTTTTTTATCATATGCTTTAATAATGAAAACCACATTATTTTTCACGATCATGCTATAACCGTATTCATGATCCTGGTATAAAATGCGTTCACTCCGAAGAATGTTAATAGCCATTCACTCAAAATTAACGGCTTAAATATTTATACATGAAGCTTTAATATATAATGTTTCTATGTCATAAAGGAGCCAAAAATCTTTATGAAAATAATATACATATCAAAACAGTTTGAAGAGCCAAACATTGAATTAATAAATAAAATAATTGAAATAATTAGTAGCTTCAATATGCAATGAATCAAAGCTACAAATAATGTATATAAAGAGATCAAATTAACAATAAACTAACGATATACTAGATAACAATTGTAAACGAGAACTTTATATACTTCAGTTATAATACTTAATAAATATATCGTGGCCTTTGAACTACTGAATAAAACGGCAAGTTAGAATCCCATAAACAAATTACGATCATATATATTAAAGTGACCATACAAAATGAAAGATAGAAGATAAATGTCTCAGTGATTAATCTTTTACGTCACGCTACCCAAACAATATATAAAGAAGCTAATAATTAGAGCAAATTTTATATAAATTATTAAGGTTTAAACTTTGCAGTAGATATCCCCTTGTGAGGAAAAGGAAAAGTAAACTTTTACCACAATAGTCATTGCAAGAGAGGTTCATAGTATTGATAACCACGAGTTTCCATGTGTAGCATATGAAGACATTAAGCCAGCGAGCAAAGTGGTGATCCAAAACTTGTAAAGCCTCATGATAGGATTCGGAAGGATCGCGAAAAATATCTACCAATTTTTGAAGCTATAACAACCTAAAGAATTAAGCAGGTTTAATTATGTTAATTGTGATATATTAATATGCCTTATTTAATTTTCTTAATTAATCATGCTTATTAAATATTTTCTCGTCTCTAAGTTTTAAATATTTTCAAGAAACTTTAATTATTTTAGTATTTAC